CTACAATTTTAGGATTAGGTCTATCATTATAGCAGTACTAATAACGAACCTCGAAAATAGTTCTACGGGTGCACTGAAGTCTCCCAAGGTTAAACTCAGACCACGTAGTGACCAAGTATTAAAATCGTCTAGTATGACCTCATTCAACTCACGGTTTGGACTGTGGAAGACCAAAGCACTCAGCATCACCTGTCATTTGCATTTCTAGCCTCAACTAACTAACTCGCACATCCCATGTTCATGAGTTATGTTATCGATAACAGTTAAAGGGATAGAATTACTGATGGATAGAGCTGAGAAAAACAAAGATTTGGATAGGGTAAACCAATTGATTGTATCATGCAAAATTCCACATAATACTTGTAAAATGCGTAAAATATACATTGAATGTACATCTTTCTTGAAATGTCTGTTACGAATTGCATCGTTCTTTATTCCTGTTGCAACTCTGACTGCTGTCGTTTTTCTTTCTCTTCTTTGTCTTCTTCTATCAGTATGAAACTTTATTTCAATTATTGATACATACTACTCATGTCAGTCTGTATAAATATTACATACTTACGACCCATTCTTTTTCTTCAGCTCCTGGATTCGTGAAATTTTCAAAATCAAGTTCATTGCTGTATAAACAGTACATCGAACAAGTTTATGCGAATCCGATTATATCCGGCTTAGTAAAGTCTTTCTGCACACCTAACTTCGATCGCTTGTCGAGTACGCTCACAACTTATCCATTTGCAATTGATATTTTCGGGTTGTATCGAATATAAATTCGAAGTCGATAGTGACTTATTGACTATGTGAATGCATTTTACTTGCATATTTCATATGCACAGAGATACGCTTTTTTGTATTTGTACAGATATAGTTGAGGGATTTATACGTCTTCATTCTCATATATTTCCCGTAAAATGTTTGTTAATATGCGCAAAGCAGAATAGCATATTTGATCACACTAGGTAGCTTACATGCATTAGGAACAAATATCTACTTACCTAGTTACCTGTATATAGACAACTACGAAGAACAATATTGAAACCTTTTCGTCCAGTGAAGATAAATCATTTGACTTCTTTACTCCAGATTCTAGATGCTAGGAAGATGTTATACAACATTCTTTATAGGTCAGTCTAATGTGTTTCCATGGCTTTAAGATGGTATTAAGGTATTTGTTGAGGCCACTAGTGATGAGCAGCAGAGTGATTCTGAGTAGTCGACTTTTAGCTTATTAATCGCAAATGCTTGAGAACACCTTTTCCATCGGAGTCGGACGAACTAAGTTGTAAAATGACAGCGTTAAAGGAAAGATGAGTTTCACATGATAGACTTGGCTTGAAAATTCAAATGAGGGAACGAAGTAGCAGGAGTAGTGTACTTGGTCTGGAATGGCTCCAAATACTCTACTAGTTTCATAAGAAAACACTCAATACAGGTCGCTCATTTAACGCCCATGCTGAATTCGAGTGAAAATATAAAAAACGGTTGCAGACTTTTACGTCATTCGATAGGAGCAGCTATTCGTCTTTCCAACCCCAATTCATTTGTTTTTGTTTAAGTTTATTACTTTTTATGAGGCTTAGACAGACGACCAGCGATCTAACAGCGTCTCTTTTCCAGGTGTTCTCAAATTGTGTTTATTCCTTTTATATCTATCTTAGATTCCTGGAGCCATATGTTATTTAGTCTGGCCTTTCCTCTTTTACCTGCAAAATGTCAAGCTCAAGTTTGCTTTGTGATATGCTTACTGATTCCCGTAAAGTTTTCTGTCTAGCTCTGATGACTTTTTCTAATTTTCTCAACATCTGAATGGTGGTTTTTCTGCTAGATTTGGTTATTGATAATGGTCTCCGGCGAATAAGTATGTGGTATCTCGTGTAAACACCTTTTTTACATATTCATTCACTACTTCGCAATGGTTGCTGTAGCTCCCCAAGTTTCATATCCGTACTGTAGAATCTGTTGAACCTATTTGAAGCATGACATTATACTAATAAATGAATTGAATATGATTAGCTTATGTAAATACTCAATAATATTAAATGACAGCAAATACGTCCCAGGCAGTACTGAAATGTTACGAGAAATGAAATGGACTACTGAATATTAATAAACAGTATTTAATAATATACAGAAAGGAGTGAAATAAAGTAAATATGAATAAAGAGAATATAAACGAACTTAACTGTTGAAAATTCGCAATTCGGTTTTGGGTAACGATTATTTTGGGTTTAAAATATTCTTAAGTTGTAGGAATGTTTTCCTTGTTTTTACATGTACACTCAATCCTCCTTACTTATCAATAATCCTTCCCAGGTATTCAGTGTCTATTCGTCATCTCAACATCAATTTGCTTGTACGATAAGAACTTGCGGTTCACGCGGTATTTCCAAGGTGATTTGCTCACTGCTACCATTTCCTTATTTCCTTTTGTCATTTTACAAAAATATTTAGAAGTTACTGTTTGCTAGAACACATATTTACCTAGTCACGATAAAATTGTCATTGTTCATATTTCCATTCTTACTTGATGGTTATTGCAACGAAATGTCATTTTGACATCAGTCAGTAAACTCCTTTTCAGTTTACTAATCCAAATGCTTCTATCTTTTCACAGCTTCTTCAACTAGTATTATCATTATTAGCATCACAATCACCATGAACACGATCACTGCACCATTATTTTCTGGTAATTAGTATCAGTTCTATTATCCTGTTTAGAGTTTTCATAACAAGCTCCACATATTCTTTATCCTCAATAACGTCGTTGTCTCTCGGTTAATTCACTCACCTATAAATTGTACTTGCATGAATATGAAAAGTACTATTACCAGTTTTTACAAGTGAGTTAAATGACTTTATACACTTTATACACGAAATCTCAATTGAAAATATCTTAGTTATTCATATATAAGAATTTGTGCATGTGTGCAAGATTTAGGGCACACGAAATAGAGTGAACTTACCTTGTCTCAGAATGTTTATTGTCCCTGATTTCAAAAACCTAGGTTTGGTTGAAGGCTGACGACCAACACTTGCAATTCATTTAAACACCATTACCACCAGTTGCTGAGACCAAATGAAACTAATAGTCCCATAGAACCAAAAGTTTATTGATAGCTGTCACTAACAAAACCACTTGAACGGAATAAAGATCATTTTCAGAAATATTTTCAACGCTACAACTTCATAGACAGTTAATAATATATCCAAACTCTCTGAGATCATAGGGTCATTGTTATCAAAACGTAGTCACTTAGTAAATACCAATTTATACTGTTTTTCTAAAACATTAAATGATTCCATAAGATGGGTAGTCAACTCTGGAAACGCCAAATACTACAGAGTATTTACCACTATTTACTGAGATGAAACAAACACTCAAACAGACTACAACTGTGTATTAGCTAATAACCAGCATAAAATAATGGTCAACAAATATTATGGAGGGTCAAGTTATTAGACATTATCTCCAACAATTCCAATGTTATAAAGTCTAGATAATAACTGGGAATAATTAAAACATACTGTTAGTTTGTGTTGTACCCCGAATGACTTTTAATCTAACAACAACCAAGATATAAGCTCCTAATCAACGAAATCTTGATTCGCCCAAACAATGACTGGTAATGTCAGTACGTCAACTCTACTGGCACTACATATTTCGTCGGATCCTAACACTTACAGTGATCACTGTTGGGAAGCTCTCTGCCACCAAATGCCCTGGTACGGCCGAGAGTGAGGAGAGTCCGCTCACGCTCTCGAAATGCTCTCACATAGCCACGCGTATATAGCCACTGCCAGGGAAGTCCTACTCACTGCATTCTTGCAGAGGGGTTCTATTTGTGAAATCGAGAGGACGAAGAGCGAATGTCTGGCATTTAAACCGGGTTAGTGAACATGGAGAGTCCACCTAAGGGAGTCGGAAAACTCTCATTCCAAACCAATTGTGCACATGGGCTCCAGGATCCTGAAGGAACAAATGGCGTATGAAACAATCGTTGATAGCCGGCTACCAAGGGAATGCATCTCCTCACGATGCTCCACTGCCTTGTGGATCAAACCTTGAGGTCGAAGGTTCAAGGTGTGGCCCCCTAAGAAAACCACCTGCTTCGGTTTGAGCACCCGGGCAGTATCACAGCTCTCACACAAATCAATTGAGATTCGTGTGGCGCATATGTACTTGGTGCCTCCTTGTACCAATATCTATGTGTTAAAATAAATATTAATAAAAGGATACGCACTGCTGAGGAGTCCCACACTAAGACGAAACGGCCACCCAGTACTTCCAGATATTCCATGGTGGTCTAGCTTCAACTGACTCATGATCTCAGCTAATAATATCTATATATGAATATAAATTCCACCAATACACCAACTACTAACAATTGATATTCATTCTCTTTTTACTTCTTAATATCTATTAGAATTTATTCATTTAAGAATCATATATAATAACTCAATCATTTAAAACTACACTATAATAAAATGCATTCAATGTTAATGAATTTAGATTGTACTCAATAATCTGTAATTTTATATCATATTCATTTCTTTCTTAATTACTAGTATATAGCAACAACAACAACAACAACAAAAATCAATCTATTTGCGACTGATATAAAAGTTTAGGATCTAAAAAAAATTTTTTTAATTATAAAGTCAACATTGAGCCTTAGTAATTTGAGAATCTTATTTTTTTAATATTTTTAATACTAAAAATATGATTATTCTCTTCATTAAGCTCTAATATCAATATTTACATACTTTTTAGTGAACATTGTACGATCGATCAATTTATTTTTATCCTCAGATTTTTTTAAAAAAAATATATAATAAATGGGATCATTTATTGTACATACGATGAACAATAAGAATGAATATGTTTATTTTCTAAGATATAATTACATTCAATTTATTTACTTAGGAAGACTTTCTTTAAATGTTGAATGGAAACAAGCATATATATATATATATATATATATATATATATATATATATTTGTTTCTGGAAAAAATATTTTATTACTGAATAAGTATTACTTTTACATTATACATTTCAACAATGAAGTTAACACATCTTTTATTGATTTGTCTTATTTCATTTGTGTTCTTTACATATGTTCAATGTGAACGTAAGTACATTATATTCATATTACTTATCTATAGTGATTATTTTAGTTTCTTGGGTTCGTTTATAAGTATAAATGAGTTAACAATATAACTTCATATTAATCAATTGTATTCATTTAAGAAAAAACATTTTCATTTAACATTGAACAATTATTTCAATGATTTCATTTTTACAAGTTATACAATATTAATAAAAAAGATTTATTCAGTTTGAAGATAATTTTATTTCATGGATTGGTTAAAGTAAGACACTAACACCATTGGATACCGATTTAGTAGTCTAGAGGTTAAGTATTCGTGTACGAGACCGATAGGTCCTGGATGAACACTGCTAAGAAATACCATACTAAAACAAAACGACCGTTTAATGCTTTCAGGTTTTTCAATAATGACTTAGCTTTATTCAACTCACGAAATCAACTATTTTAATTTATAATTTTATCTCTTAGTATAAAAGTTTATGAATGAAATTCGTGTGGTACAGTTTACAAAAAATGAACAAAAATAAATTTAATAAATGTAACATTTAACTGTGTATTAAATATAACCTATAAGATTATTATTATTATTAAACAATATTTTTAAGGTCAAGACTAATCTATTGAAAGTATAGTACTTACATCTCATATGGATCATCCAAATATTGATTATAGACTATCTAAGATCAGATATGTGTAAAAAGGATCATCTTATCATGACCTTAGCTTTTTTTTTATTATGGAAAAAACATTTTTTCGTATCATGTATTAATGTTTTCGTTCACGTACATTTTCATCTTTAAGTACCATTTGACCTTATATCTCCTTGAATAATTTAATTCAAAAAAGAAAATATTCAAAATTAAAATTGATGTATTTCATTTAATTAAATTAAATATAATTCTTATTTGTAATGAATTACATTTCCATAATATGGGAAAACTACACTGTGATCTTAAATTAAAATTTATTTCCTTCATAAACTTCAACTAATTCAAAATAATAAGATTTGTAGAATAAAATGAATTCATTACATTTCAAAACTTCTCATTAGTTACAAACAAACCAGTTTCAAATAATAACACAGTTTTAGATATTAATTTAGTTAATATGATCAAGATTGATGTACAAAACGAAACATCAAATCAGAACATCAAAAAGACTAAAAGTATAATGAGATTTATGATCTCAGCTTTTTCTTTACATAACTCCATTTCCAAAATAGTTAACTAACAAGGAATAAAGACTATACAATTCTTTCAAAGGCCATAACCAGTTAGTGTTTTCAATCTCACCTATGTACATAGAAAGAAAAAGTGATAAACCTTTTTGTTTATCATAAGAAAATAATTACCGATATTGTTTCACTGAATATATAATCTATCGCTTTTAACTATCAATTGAACTTTATATCATTTTTGAAGGCTTGATTACACAATAACTGATTTGTTTAAACAAAAAAGACGAAAGAGGCCCATTTATTTAGTAAAAAAGTAAAAACGTTCCTGTGAAGAAAATTTTTTTTCGACAATATCATTTTCTGAAGCTGTATAATCTTTCTTTTCGGTAGTTTCTTACATCTGGTAGTCTTTAGTAAAATAGAAAAATTTTACAAAATTATCAAAAATTGTCAAACTTATTCAAATGGAATTCAATCAAAATGAAATGATGTTGCATGATCTAAAACTAAATAAATAAAACTTCTTTATTTTACCAAAGACTATTCACTACATGTAAAAGAAAAACCTGGCTAACACATCCTTGTCGTGACTCCTGGATAGTGGGACTTAATCCTATGAACTAACGTGAGCGGTACACTGGGTGGTAAAGATCAGGTATATCACCCACTCGACCGATACACATAGATAATTACGAATGCTACAAAGAAAAGTAGCACAACTGTTACTGGACCAAAAATGATAAAACCTAAGACAAAAAAATACCTGTAAAAATAGCTATTGAGCCCAGTTAGTTGTACCGTGCTTCGATATAGAGACTTCTCCAAAAGGGTCCACTAGGCTTCACCAACTTATTTTCGTTGGAATAGACACACATAAATACAATCGCACAACTTCAAATAATGATACTATCGAAAAGAAAATCTCCATTACTGAAATGTCTTCATAATGATTTGTTAATTTATTCCCTTTGATTCATAATTATCAGTATTAGTATTCATTACATTAAACATATAAACAATTATCAATCTTAACCACTATAACAAATATCATAATTTTTCTCCTATTCCCATTGTTATAACTATCTGTCATGCTTTAAACATTCAATTCAATTTTATTAATTAAAATTAATTAATCATACTACTATTTAAAACTTGAAATTGTTTATAGCTAAGGTTTATGCTATTACGTGTAATTTTAATAGTGTTTGTAAATTTATTATATTTTTCTAATCATCTTGGTTATTCATTTACTTTATTAACTGGTATGAATATCAATCTATGAATTCTCAACACTAGATACAAGTATACTATCGATTAAAACAAATGTTTAAATATTCAATCTTCATAAATAACATGCACTTTGTTGATATATTTCTTTTAAATCTTACATTTTATAAGACTGAAAATAAAATGAATCTTCATCTCTTCTTTCTTTTATTAAAATATAGCTGATGAGGATGAAGAGCCGCAATGTAAAGCAGTTCATACTTCATTAAAGACAAATTATCTTCATTAGTAATATAACAATAGAAAATCATAATAAGCAAAGATGGATAGTGACTAGTAGTGAAATCCAGGACGCACATTTCTTCCTATTTGGATGTACCTGAATCTCAGATTTGATGTTCACTCCGGGACTCGAACCAAGTATCGTTCGCTTCAAACGCCATCATGTTATCAAGTTCAGATAGCCACTTGCTTGTACAAGGACGAAACGCGCATCCTGGATTCCACTACTAACCATTATCCATCTTTGCTTATAGTGCTTGTGAATTAAAGCAATATCAAGGTAATACATATAGTATGCATATATGCCAATAAAAGACTTACCAATTGCAGTCCTAAATATCAAGTAAACAATATCAAATGAAAATCATGTTTAGTAAATGAAATATTTTATCAGCTTGCTTTTTTGTTTAAGACAATGGATCTTATTTCATTACTAACAACTAGAAAGTATGAGTAAATAAAATCAAGAATGCTGATAATTTACATATTTCTCGTTTAATTAAAATAACAAAACCTAGCTTATTGTAAGTCTGTTTTCCAAAAGAAAATCCTATATAATTGAAATATTGAAAAATGTAATTTGTATTAAATTCTAGTGGACGGAGAAGAGTAAGTAGTTAAAGTTCACATGACATACTTAATCTATTTTATTTCCATTGCTTACAATACAGTATATATATCATTCTATATTATGCATAGATACATGTTCTCATCCAAAAATTCTAACATTTCATCCAGGAAATCTGTGAATCATTCTTTCCTTTTCATGAAAATTATCATTCTTATTTCAATGAAGCATCGTTAACTAACCTCTATGCATATGATTTGCTCTTTACTCTTTTAAACTAATTAAAGTAATATTTTAGTTGATTATTATTTACTAATTTAATTATTCCTGTTTGATTCATATCTACTGATCTGATCAAGTTCTTTTATTCCATGCCCAATGATAATAATAATAATAATAACTAAATTCAAGTATTATCAGTTCAAATATCTATTTTGATATTATCGGTCATTTTAATAAAAATTCAGATATCTTTATTCAAAATGAAATGGATTGTTTTAACAGATTGTTGATCAGTTTGACTGAAATTCGATCAATCGTGGTTGATATTTGAGGATCTTTAGTGAATTATCTTGATATAGCCATTGATATAGAATAGATGGAATGTGACTAGTAATATAATTCAGGACGCGCTTAAATGTTAATCTGGACTTAGTAGCTAAGTGGATAGTGTGATGGCGTTTGAAGTATACAGTATTGGGTTTGGGTCTTGGGGTGAACATCAAGTATTAGATATAGGTGTATCTAACTCATGAGTCCCAAATCAGATAAAACGCTCATCCTGGATTCTACGGCTATTCACATTTCATCGGTTTAAAAGTTGAGAAACATAAAAAGTCGAACAAAGGCAGAATGAAATAAAGGTTAGAATTACATGGTGCTTGATGAAAATAATGAATTTAGGTTTATTTGGAGAAAAGTTTTGATTATAACACTGGGTGGTAATTTAAAAAAGAAAATACTTTTTGAATGTTCTGTAGTCAACAGCTTGACACAGATATGACGAACAAAATAAATATATTCGACTTGTGTGTCACAGTAAATTTCCTTCATAGTTTAAAACAACATTAACAAATAACTTTTATCATTTTGGTGGAGTTTTGTTCTCTGAGCTGGATGGTTTGGTCGTGGAGCTTTCATCTTTCCTCTGAAGAACACCATCATCACAAACCTTTTTTCATCATATTTATTAAAAACTCATTCAATTACATTAGGAGAATCAGTATAGTACAAACGCATAAATAATTTGACATCGCTGATTTAAATAAGTTAACTCCTAGTACTCAGATTTATTTAACCTAATAGTTCATGACCGATAGTCTAAATAAAAAGAGACTTTCTGCTAGTTGACAGAAAAAATTCCCAATATGAAAATAAATTTACGTAGGTATTGAAATGATATCAAAAGTCAACTAGAAGTAGGGTACAAAAAATCATACATTATTCGATAGTTTAAAGTCAAGCCTAAACATAAAGTTCAAATGTTTTAATTGATAAAGCTCTCTCATGTGGGAAATAAATTGTTTAATGTTTTTGAGATGCTGGAGAAGATTTGTAGTTCAGGTGGATTATTTTAATGGAGTTTTGTTCTCTGAGCTGAATGGTTTGGTCGTGGAGCTTTCATCATTCTTCTGAACGAAATCATCAGCATAAACTTCAAATTTGATGTTTTGTTTATCGGATATTTTACATTTTAGTTTAAATACCCGTTTTGTTTATGTGCTTCGTAAAATCTATTACTTTAGCTGGACAAGTTGAGTTTGAATCCGACTACATCTGACCAGATATACAAGATGGTATATAGAATAGTGAATTATTTATTTAGCTTCAAATAAATTTTCGTTCCATTTTTAGGGAACCTGATGAAAAGTTAGTTACATGTCAAAATTAAATGACACAAATTTTTTTTTAAAAATCACATCAGTACCTACTAATTGATGTTATTCAGTAGAAAACGTCTATTTTTCTTTGTTCAAAAAACTGTAATGAACTTAGAAAATACTTCAGAAATTAATGGATTTTACTGACAAAAGAAATCAACATTTATTCAGTTAGTAATAATAGGTTTCTTTTTAAAGGTTAAAAAAACTATGAAAATATAGATAAAGGTTTGTATGAATAAAACAACAGAAGTTATACAAGTTATACAAACCACTGAATGTCGGTTCAGTATTCAAAACATTGAGCTCTGAAAGTCATACGTTCGATACTCGCTTAGTTGGTAGATGTACATTGCTGAGAAGTATCATATTAGTACCAATCAGTTATTTGAAGATCTATGGTTTTCAAAAGTTGTCTAACTAAGTTTAATCTATGAAATATTAAGACTGAAGAAAGTTTTTTTGAAAATTTTTAGTAATATATACTATTCTATTGTCGAACTAGTTATCTGTGTTAAATTCAATTAAAATGCAATGACATTGTTTGTATTCATTACTGTGCATCATAATTTGTTTAAAAAATATCATTGCAAAATAAAATTACGTAACTCTCGAATAAACAGATTTCGTTTGTTAGTATATTGACATATTTTGATATTTAGAGTGTAATGTCTGAAGTATAGACAACCAAAGTGGTTTATCTGAATAATGATAAAGTTTCATTGATCATGTAATGCACCATGTTCTTCAGCTGAAATTATGTATCTGAAACATATCTAAATTTGATTCGATTTTTACGGTCTAAACTAATTGCAGTAAATTAAGGTATTTTGATTGACATAGAGAGCTAAAGAATAAGAGGTATAAAGTTCTTGAGTATATATATATATATGTTACTAGATTTGCATCCAGTATTTGGAACTTGGTCATGTACAGCTAAAACCTTTTACAACTGTAAGCTCCAAATCAGGTTTTTGAATTTTCCTATATCTGCAATTCAAATTTATAAATTTAAGCTCACTATTTTGGCATTTGAATAAAATAATGCTAATTGAAATAGTCCAATAAAGTGTTGAGTATAATTTTTCTGAAATTGTTTACTTTGAATTCTACCAACAGTGAAGAAGGGTCTGTTTATAAATCATGTTAATGTATTGCCTTTTTTAGTAGATCAAATGATATTAAACTCATCATGAAGATTTGATATTTTGGGATTGTTTCAAATAATTTTAAGCTTAACATTTCATTCAATGTATGGCAATCTAACATCTATGTTATGCATCTATGTTTTTGTTAACTTAAAAATTTTGATTGAATAATACAATAGAAAGTAGTATTTACTTTATACACTAAAATAGTTCTACTCAAACCGAAAAAATTTATAATTACTATTATTATAAAATAATGAAACACTTGAATTTGTTACTGTTTATGTTATAACTAAAACTGTTTTACAAACGACTGATCAAACACTTGTATGTGATGGTATGATACTAAAAATGGAAAGTTAAAAAATAATTGTAATTAATCGTTTATTACATATCAAAAATTAGCATACATCACAATTTGGTACTATCCGATTAGAGGTGGTCGATAGAAATTTCTTTGTATAGGATTATGGCTAGTTGCCCCTTACCAAGGTGTTTCAGTACTGTTAAAATAAATGTTCCCGTCTTTGAGTTTCGATTGGATCCTATTATTTTTGTGGGAAAGATAATACTCAATTATTTACTACTAGACGGTCAGTTAGTCTAGGAGAAAATTGCCAGCTAGAACCGTTACACGTTTTTCAGATACCTTCTAGTGGTTATGAACGGACTGGAAGTTATACAGTGTGTTGGACATTTTTCACCATTAGACTAAATCAATTTATTGACAGAATATTGGTATGAAACAATCATGTATTGTAACTGAAAAGTTGTAAATCTTAATTTAATCAAAATTTGTTTATGTTTATTAACCATTCAACCTCAGTAGAGAACAATCTGTGTAAGCATATGTAAACAAAGTTTAATTTTATATACTGCTTTTATAGTTATAATAATGAGAAAGTTTAACAGATTTAGTCAATTAGACATTTTTTAATGTTACATATATATTTCACACTAGCTTATTAAACACATGGCCACACGTTTATAACCACTGCCAGAGAAGTCCTCCTCACTGCTTTCTCGCATCGTGAGTGTTATTTCCGAAATTAAGAAGACGAAAAACGAATGTCTGGTGCATTAACAGGGTTGGTGGACACGGAGGGTTCACCTAGGGGAATTGGAAAACTCTGATTCCAAATCAATGGTACACATGGGCTCCAGGATCCTTAAGCAACAAATGGCGTATGAACCAATTATTGGTCACCAGCTACGATGGAACGGCATCTCCTGATGTTGCTCTACTGCCTTATGGATCAGACCGAAGGCTCGAGGTGTGGTCCCATATGAAAACCAATTGCTTTGACCTGGGAACCCAGGCAATGTCATTGCCCCCACACAAGTCAAGTGACTTATGTGGCGCATTTGTATTCGGTGCCTCTTTTGTACCAATAGTTATGTGTTTAAATAAATAAATTTTAAATATGCTATCCACTGTAAATTAGGAAGTTAAATAAATCCTGAATGCAAAGCGCAGTTACTACTAAAATACATATTTGAATCCCAAGATTACTAGTAAATTCTCACTTATATAAATGAATTAGATCCTGTTGTAAATCAGTTAGGTTCTGTCCAACATAATTCAGCATTTTATTTCTTCTGAAGTAAGCAGTTATTTAAAAATTCTTAAGATTATTGCTTAACCTTAAGACCAAATAACTAGTGACTATTACATACAAAACTAATAAATTACCATTATCTTTACATAAATTTGACCTTATTATTGGAATGAATAAATACACTCTAACATGTTTCTTGATTTGATTTTAGTCCACATGGAAAACACCCGTAAGTTTAATATAATTTACGTAAATTAAGTTAGAAATTTGTGTGCAAACTTTTAGAAAAAAACATTACATTATGTAACAAAGAAATATGTACATATAAGTGACAACTATTTTACGTATAAAGCATATAAATCTATTATGATGAAACATCTCTATGATATGAAGAATGTTTGAAAATTTTCATTACCGAGAATAGATTTATTGATTCATAATTTGCTGATAATTTGGTGGTCATTACTGGATCTATAAATACAATATAACTCTTAGTCAAGCATATGAGTCCTACATAGTAAAAAGATGTTTTGTCTCAGTTCCCATGTTTTGTCACTTGTTAGCTTGTTGATAATCAAACTGAATTGATTAACTGAAAGAGAGATAGACGGACTCTAACATCAGTCTACTAAATATTACTACGATATTCTGGATAGAATCAACATTTATATTTTCTTGGCTTGAAATCCCTAATATACACGGCTTGCGGCATCGAAAAAAAATATATGTTTGCTTTTTTATAAGTGACTAGATCAAGAGGCTCTAATGATTCTAATCTAGGCTCTATTTAGGATTTAAAAAGCGTAAAGTTACGGCTAAACTATCTATGAGAAGTTTTAAGTGATGTTACATAACTAAATAAATTTTCATGTGAAAATAACTTATAATATTAACCTTCTCGAATGAATTTCTTTAGAGGATAATAGTTCTTCATGGAGTCCAGTTCTGTATTCATTTACAGTCCTTTGATAAAATAAATAGAAGGAATTCGCTTTATCAATGACTCAGTCACAAATCTAAAGCAACAGATCGAAACTTATCTCCCTATATACCTATTTGTTAGTATCATACATTTCCATAATAATCATATATCAACAAGTTGACTTTCAGTTGCTTCTTAATTAATTAATAAGAGGATTCAATTTTACTAGTCTTTAATAAGCAGGTCAAGGAAACTACTCTAATTTAATTTTACGACACGAATATAATTCATTAATTTTAGAAGTAAATTTATGAAATTGTTGATGAATGTGTAGTTATTTCTATGATCTGGATCTTGTTGTGTAGTAATTTGAATTCAAAAAATATCCTTGGTAGATTTATTGATAATATCATGAAACTAATGATCAATAAATATGTCATCTGTAATTTATCAGGGAAATCAAATAATTTCAAGTTTACAGAAAATACCCAACTAGAAAGGAGACTCTCTATCTAGAAATCATACTAAGATTCATGAAAACACTAACTGCTAGATAAATTTGAAGTTGAAATAGTGTAAAACTGAATAGTCTAACTGAATCTAATATCATTCATTTAATTAGTTTTGAAGAAGATCTATGAGATCATCACAAACTTTATTGCTCTATTATTAAAAATATTGAAAGATTATTGTTGAAATATATTTACAAGAAATAATCTTGAAACTTTGAAAATTTACAGAGTTTTAAGAAAAGTATTCTTGTAAGTTGAAATGTAATTCAATCATATTGATTTATAGTTTAATATCTATCAAATAATCATTGAATGATGAAAAAGTAAAAGAATATCAGAAACCATTTAACCAAAATATTATTTAAAAGAGATAGACGAATAATGAAAAAGAATTTTCAGAATAGAAGCAGTGGACGGTCGTTTCGTCCTAGTATAGGACTCCCCAGTAGTGCAAGCCAGTATAACCATTTCTATTATTGGAGCATACTGACTAATTAAATCAAAGAAATAATAGAATCTTGATGTTATTATTTTACATAATGTTACTGGTTATGGTCAAGTTGTTGTTTCACATTTCAATGAGAGTTTAGAATATGATAATGGAAACAGTATTAGATGCAGTGTAGTTCTGATTAAGAATATGGCTGTAATATAAAACGAATGAATAATACTTAAATAAGCTAAATCATTTTGTTGATTAAAGATTTAATAGATCATTGGAAAGTTCCGGCTATGTATGATGGTGTTGAGTTCCCTGAGCTAGATGGTTTAGTCATGGAGCATTCATCATCATTCTGGACAGCATGACCGTTTGTTTCACGTAGAAATGAGCATTTTTTTATTCCACGAGTTTCAAATCATTTATTCTGGTGAGTATCGTCGTAGCTTATGAACTGTCTTTGTGCTCAAGGTGACTTTTGTTGTATCGGCCTTTTTTGAATGAATTAAACTAAATCAATTCTAAATCGATATGACTACTGACTTCCCATTGATCTAAAAGCTATGCTTCAAGAAGTTTTTTGTGATTCGTAGAATTCTTATGGTCCAGAATTCCGACGTTCTCTCAGTTGAACTTACGTCCGTGGTTGATTATATGTATTGATTTCAGCGATAGCATATCATGTCGCCTCACTTGTGGTTTATATTCGTGTATAAGCAGGTGGAGAGAGCATTCACATTGTCTAATATGGTGTTTATTACAGTTCCATTCTTAAATGTCAGGTCTTAGATAAAACTGTTTAAATATGACAAAAGACAATTAAATGTCCTGCGTGCTTATATATTAGGGGTCTATTTTCTCTATGTAGTCGTTTCAAATTGACTTTCTATTCTCGACATAAAAGAATCTTTCCATCAAAGTTGTTAAAGTTCTTCAGAGTGTCGTAAATGTAATATTTAGTTTCTGATAGGAATATACTAGTAAAAGAAAACTACTATCGGGCAAGAGTTTAACTTAGCAAAAGGTGTCAAAATTCTTATTACTTTTAATAAATCGAAATATATAACGAATAAAATAATGTGATATTTGTTTTGTTTGTTCATATTTTTATTTTCGATTCTTATTTCTATACAATGAAAAACATATCGTAGTGTAAAACTACAATGAACGAACATACCTTAATTCAAATGGAAACCTCCTCGATCATATTCCCTTACCTTGGGATTATAATTCTTAAAAGCCTACATATTGTAGTTAAAATTAAAGCACTAATGCATAAAATTCTTATTTCATGTCGCTTTGTTAGAAGTGCACCATCATGGATGCAGTAAGTCTATTGTTCTGGATGAATGATTTTACATGAGAGAAAATTAAATCTTCTCATTACTGAATATAGCAGTATATTGTATCTCAAGATTGACGTTTTTCATAAAATGGCGGAGGAGTCAATAATCGCGCTTAATTCTACATCTCTTTTCTATCATCTAAACGTTGTGTTCAAGAGTGACAGTGGTATATTTCCTAAAAATCAAACCATTTACGTGTATACTGAAAGTTATGCAATATTATCCTAGTAGGAAGTTATTAAGTGGAATTAAATTTAATCAATCTTGGTTGAAATGATTACAATGCATTCTAAAAATTGTATAAATGTCTAGAAATGAACAATATATATTATTTAGCTCTTCTAAATATCGAAAGGAAATTGTAAAATTATATGTTATCGAATACTTTATGAAGACAATATCTGAAAATGATCACAGAAAAATGTGCGCTTGAAGAGTAAACAAGTACTATATCACGATGAAACTCTATTACAAGTCAATTATAGCTTTACATAGTTTCAAACCTTATACACGAAATATTTATTTATTAGAAAGGGATATTATGGTGTGAGCTACTTATATCTACACAGAGTAGGATATAACGATAGTCAAGAATAGAATGTATTTCAGTAGAAGATTGAGAAGGAAAGAATAAGAACGGAAAGTAATTGAGATAAAAATGCACGAACAATCAAATCTGAGACGATGGACTGATACTTACAAAAGGCGCAGTCAAGTTTGAGACAATTGACTGATATTATTTTTGCAAATTAACTATTTACTGTATGGTTGTCAGATTTTAGTAAGACATTCCTTAATTTTGTGCTCAAATCCATTTGATTGCTCCCAATTGTGTTGTTGTTCACTACAATATAAAGTTGAAATACATCTGTAAATTTCTTATTTCAATAATCATACCTTTATTTATTTATTTATCTTTCAGTATACCATTTTCTATTCTTGGGTATGTCGAACTAAATATAATTTCATTATGACGGTTGTATATAAGCATATTTAACCAACGGAAACATTAATTAAGTCTCAGAAAATTATAAATGAATAAAATGTCTCTATTTAATCATACTGTATTAGATCAGAAAAGTGTAAACGACCCTTAGTTTTTTTTCGAGGAATTAAAAATTACCGACTTTTATCTAACAGCATCATTCAAAGAACTTCTATGCAGTGCTCAAACAGTTTATAATTGATAAGAGACATTTTTGTCAACACATAGTGGAGATGACTGTATAAAAAGTGGATTGATTGAGTGATTAAGTTTTATCGCAATATCCTTTGTTTATAACAAAATAACAAGGTAATCAGCATATTAGTCATTCATCGAACAATGAACTAGCTAGTAGTGCAGAGTTGACAAAGTATCCTAGGATTCTTATGATTTAAAAATATTATTCATCTAATGATATAGAGTTAATTTCTTTGATTAACTGTTACAATACTTGAAATAATCAAGAATTTTAAATTCTACCTTTAACAAGTGATTTCATTTTTCAATTTAGACTAATTTTTAAGACTAATGTTCAGTAGTTGTATAATTGACTGATCTCAAAAACATCCATGAAACAGATTTATAGAATAGAGTTTCTGAAAAATATTTTTATTACTTAGGTCTTACTCATATTATCAGAAGTGAGGTTTTGTGGAGATTTTAGTAATTTCGTGGATTGGTTGAAGTTAAACATCCATTGGATACTGGCTCAATGGTCTAGAGGTTAAGCGTTCGCTTGAGAGACTGATAAGTCCTGGGTTCGTATTCCGCGAGCGGGATCGTGGATGCGCACTACTGAGGAGTTACATACTAGGAAAAAACAGCCGTCCAGTGCTTCCAGGCTTTCCATGGTGGTCTAGCTTTAATCGACTCATGAATTCAATTAATCATATAAGCTCATTAAGTAGTGTGTAATGTACCTGATTATTATCCAGGAGTTAACAAAGTAATTATCGTTTTGCTAGATTGTATTTCATCTTTTTTTCAGTGGAAGTAAACCAAACTACACCATGGCATATCTGAAACTATAGATTGAATCTTTGACTGGAGAAATTTCTAAACACGTTACCCTCCTTTGTTATTAAAATGAACTACTATATTTCAGTTTTGTTCAGTATAACGTTAGAATATATGATCAAAGTATTTTTAGAGTGAATAAAAATCCCATAACTAAGATATTTAATTTTTTGAAAATAAAACTTATTTTCTTATACCACAAAAGTAAATATCCGGTTCATATTTTCTTCTTTTAAAATAAAGCGCGGTAGCAGCATACTTTGCGTAAGTTTAAATGCTTACAATCATTTGTATTTTGTTCTGTTAATGATGATTACTTTCCATGAAGTCTTTGCTGATAAAATAACTATCAAAAGAAATAATAAGGGTATCAATTTTATGAATAAGTTTATTTTAAAATTGAGAATTATTTCTTATTTATTTCCTTAATTGTTAAGAGTAACAGTCATAATAATCTGATATAGTTCTACCTTTCAATTTAATTAGTAAGTGTTTCAGAGACATTCCCGGTTCATAAAGTGTTTAGTGGAGTAATCAATGATTATCTAATATACACTGGTTAATGATCAGAATGTTCCATTTCAAAAATAAACGACTTGACTATAGATTTCCTTAGAGAAAATCTTTTGTTTTACGTTGCTGTTTATTATATTTATTATTCTATGTGATTTCCTTCAGATCTTTGAAAATGTTATGTTGTTTTAACTTCTAGAAGTTCATCCCTATTCGCATTCATTAAGCGCTGTTTATTTATAAATTCACTTGAATGATTAGTCTTACTTTGTTGAATCTCTTCTTCCATTTTGAATGATAGTTTATCTTGAAAGTAAAACATTCTAAAATCTACAGGTGCTGAGTGCATGTAGGCTGTTTTGTAAGTCTTCCTTAATCAAAGCAAACTACTGTACACCACTAATAATGCAACGAGAATATTGTAAACGCATTTCTGATAGAGTGACAATTCGTTCAATCTTAAACAGCATGGTGGACAAATTTTAAACTATTCACTTGTAAAAGGTTATAAAAGTTGTCATAAATTAAATTATTGTATCTTCAATTGTATTGAAAGAATCTGAATGGCACAATGAATTATACTAATTAAGTTGTGAATTCAAAATGATGATAAGATCAAAGATATACACCTTTTTACTAACTTATATTGCTTGTAAGTTAAGGCAATATCGAGGCAATACGCACAATATGCACACATGCCAATAACAGACTGACCGATTGCAGTCCTAAACGTCAATGGGAAGATTCAAGTGAAATTAAAATCCACCCCATTGCGCAAGCAAATGGCTACCAGGACTGAGTAGCTAAGTGGATAACGCAACGATGTTTGAAGAGAAAGGTACTGGGTTTGAGTGAACATCAATTCTGAGATGCAGGTGCATCCAGCTGACGAGTCCCAAATAGGAAGAAACGCGCGTCCTGGTTCCCACTGCTAGCTACGATCCATCTTTGCTTATAATACCTTATAAATATTTTCAATATATTTTACTGACACACTTAACTGAATGATACCAAGAATTTCTAAAATTTCTATGTTTAATGATTTTCTATGGTTAAAGTTAAACAACAAAATCGCTCCCAACTAACTATTACTTTTCATTCAGAATATAATTCATTCTAATGGTTAATAAGTTTTAAACAGTTTCTTCAGTTTCTTGATGTAGATAACATTTAACTTCTATCGTGTTAAATAGTAACCATATAACGACTTTTCTATCACTAAACAAATATACTAAACATAATTTATGACAATCACTTATGAAATGGAATAGAATATGGAAGATACTTCATATTGGTCAAAATTGTTTAGACAGATAATTATCAGAAGGGGTTCTGTGGAGATTTTAGAAATTTCAATAGTTGAAATCATGAGTCAATTAAAGCTAGACCACCATGGAAAACCTGGAAGCAATGGACAGCCATTGCGTCCTAGTATGTAACTCCTCAGTAGTGCGCATCCACAATCCCGCAATAAGAAATAATAGTGGGATAAGTTTCTGGTAGAACTACTCCTATGAATTAAATTTAACAACTTCATATAATACAGTTATATAGTTTTTGACGGAGTTTTGTTCTCTGAGCTGGATGGTTTGGTCATGGAGCTTTCATCGTTCTTTTGAACTTGTGAGGTTTGTGCTGATGAAAGCTCCACTACCAAATCATTCAGCTCAGAGAACAAAACTTCATCAAAATCATCCACCTGAGCTACAAATCTTCTCCACCATCCCACAGTCATATAGTGTACAAGACGTATTGTAATGAACAAAAACACGAGTGAAGGCTATTGAATATGTTTGGACAAGCAATTACAGAACACCTTACTAAAATCTGAGAATTATACAGTAAATACTTTATTTGCAAACTATTAATCAACTATCTCAAACTTGATTGTTCCTATTAGAAATATCAGTCCATTGCATCAAATTTCATTGTTCTTGCATTTCCATACTAATTACTTTCCATTTTTGTTCTTTCTTTCTCAATCTTCTACTGAAATACATTCTATTCCTAACTATCGTTATATACTACTCTATGTAGATATAAATAGCTCACACCATAATATTACTCTACAATGTTAGTTTCCATGTTTCTATAAGATTTTAAATAATCTATTTATATTTCATTGAATAAATTATGAAATTCTACTAATACTTAATCCCTTTTCTTTTAAAATATTTTCTAGTTACCATATCTATGGTTAAAATATGAACAAGGATTTATTGGTTCAAAAGAGAAACTTCAATATCTATTTATAAATTGTATTAAAATTAAATGACATTTAAAAAAATATATATATTCTTGTAACAACAAAATTTCATAGAGAAAAAAGTTCCGATGATATTTCTTCTTTGCTTTTCTTCTTGTTTTGTTTTGTCTTTCTTTTATTGTTTATTATTTGTTATTTCAAATTTATGATAATTTAATGTATGAAACTTGAAATTATTTCTTAGAAATTGGCTTCATTACTAAATCACAATAATAATAGTAATAATAATAGTAGTGGTAGTAATAATAATAGTAATAATAATAATAGTAGTAATAATAATAATAATGGTATTAATGATAATAGTAGTAGTAATCGTAATAGTAATAATAATAATAATGGTAGTAATAATAATAGTATTAATAATAAAAGTTGAAATTAATAAACTTTAATTAGTTAACTAATATTGAAATTAAAGTTTCATTATATAAACCATAGTTAATGTTACTTATTACTAAATGTAATAATATAATGTCAAATTTCACTGTACTTATTATTACTATATTACCAGAAATGAGTTAAATTGACAAGTCATTTATATCTTTTATAGTTTAATCAAATCATTCTTATTATGATATGTAGTCATTTAATAATTATGATATAAAACAGAATAGTGATAACATTGACCTATGAATTCAACTATTAAATGAGTATAATATCTACAACCCCCTACCATCATCACCATTTTGATAAAAATCATTTTAATAAAATATGAATGTTTAAATAAACAGAAAAGTTGGTAGTCTCAAATAAAGTGAGTATCAAGTAGGGAATTAATCATAAATATATTTAATAATTGAATTCATAAATCAATTGAAGTAAGGCCATTATGGAAAACCTGGAAACACTGGATGGCCGTTTCATCTTAGTATGGAATTTTTCAGCAGTGTGCACTCACTATCCCGCCGAACAAGGTTCGAACCCAGAACCTAACGGTCTAACTTCAACCAATCTCGCGGAGTGGGATCGTGGATGTGCATTGATGAGGAGTCCCATACTAGGATGACATTACCGTCCATCGTTATCTAGTGCCAATTGACTCATGAATTCAATTATTAAATTATTACAATCTCCACAAAACCCCTCTCTGATTATAATCATCATATGCTAACTAGTGACCGTCTCCAAGAGTTATTTCTTGGAGTTCTAGTAAGAAACCGTGACCAGTGGAGTACAACAGGGTCTGTTGCGAGATAGTAACTCACCTAACAACGGTGGCGGACGGTGGTACAATTTTGTGAATTGTTCGAAGTTAGACATTAACACCGTTCGATGCCAACCGGCTCAGTGGTCTTAAGGTTAAGAGTTCGCGCGCGAGACCGATAGGTCCTGAGTTCGAGTCTCGCGAGATGGGATAGTGGATGTGCACTACTTTGGAGTCCCATACTAGAATGAAACGTCTGTTTAGTGCATCCAGACCTTCCATGATGATCTAGCTTCAATTGACTTATGAATTCAGTTATTAAATTACTACAATCTCCATAAAACCCCTGTCTGATCATAAATATGTTATTTAAGTTTGTGTAAATTTAATTCGGTTACTTTTTTACTCTGAAGAAGTAGCTTATATTAAGTTATGAAACGTCAGAAATACAGCTTTTCTATTTATTTATAACAAAAGGTATATTTGTTATAATGGCAGAACTATTTAGCGTCTACTATCTTTATAATTAGATCAGTTAAAGCTAATTGAGTTGAGCATTACAAAACTTTGTAAATGAATTTAATACCACCGAATACAATGACCGGTTTGCAAACGTTTTAAAATTATCAGTTGAAATTTTGATATTTATTCAAGCATAAAAATTGAACAATACAGCAGTTCATATGTATAATATTTCGCAAATGTTACTTGAGTTCATGACATGTAAAAAGTGTTATTATGATCAATGAAGTGATAAAATGAAAGTTAGTAGAGTGTTCTCATAGTTTAAACATAATTAACAGCTTACCACCTCATAATTATCCGAGTATAATGGTAATTAATAAGATATCTAGAATTTGTTTGTTAACTACTGAGGTTAATGACATAATAATAATAACAATGATCGTAGTCTCATTTGTGGGAGTAGTAATAAAATTTCACCAATTTCCAGAATCTCTTTAACAGCCAAAGTATGTCCATGTCCACCCATCGTCAGCCTGACCACTAATGAGTTACGAAGAGTATTCCCCGGGCAATTTTCGCGACCATTAACAACTTCTTTTACTTATTCATACATTACACCATACTGTCGAAATTGGATGTCAGTGGTGTTATCGGGTTGCGCGCAGATAGATTTTACAATATATGAAGGCTTAATAAATAAGAACTTTCGTCTAAATTTGATCGAATAGTTTCACAGTATTTGAGCGCCGAGTTAATGTGAGACATTAAAGAGGAAGAATGTATTTGTAAAATCTCAGCGAATGAATTTTGAAGTAAATCGTTGAAAGAGCTTAGACCAGATCGCCAGGCGAAACGTTGGATTTACTTCAAAATTCATTCGCTGAGATTTTACAAATGTATTCTTCCTTTTTAATATGAAGGCTTAGCCTTAAAGAAACGGTGTGTAATAAAATCTACTTTTATGTATTTAAAAGTCCTATTTGAGTATATTTCTTCCACAGGTTCATTTACATTGTTACATCTTTTCTATTTGTTAGTGGAGCATTCAGGCTAGTTAAATTCTAGTTTCATCTCAATTTCGAGTTAGTTTATCCCTCAAGATTATCATACACATCTGCAGAGAACCAGCAAAATTTTTAAGTTCTTAAGTGAGAGCTACAATATTGATCTGAAGTAATTGACACAAAGCCATTTACTAACTCAATCATGAAAATAATCACAAATAATAGTATTGGTTTTACGAATACAATTTAATCTATTTCCGATAGATGAAATATGTTGAATAGGAATGCTTTCTAACAATTGACGATCGATTTCCAAGTTTACTTAAACCAACTATCAAAGTGATGAAATTTTAAGCAAATCGCTGGGCATAGAAGTTATGGCTTGTATTCATCAAAATTCAATTAAGAAGATCAACATTTGGATGTATTAAATCATTGTTTATTTGAAGAATACTACATTAAATTTGACTAAAATTATGACATCAATTAGCATAATATTGACTTTGTTCTCCTTGTCAGATAATAACAATTAACAACGCTAGATGTTACATTTTAAAGACAGTAACTTTTATACCACTTGTCATATACACTCAGTTCATTCTGTATACTTGGAATAAATATGACCTACTTAATTTACCAATAACTTACACCATATATATGTAAATGTTAGTTAGTATCAGTAATTTCTTTGTAAATAAGAACACATATAACTCAGTAGTATAATCGGTTCATTCAAATCAAAATCATCTAGATGAGATGAATGTAAATTCTGAAAAATGAACCATCATAGTTTGTTAAATATGAGAAGAGAAATATAAGCACGGAATTTGAATTTTCTAATTGACTGCTAAACATAAAATGACTCAATTGACAAACATTGAAATTCGAACATACTAAAAAAGTGATGAGTTTCAAAGAACCGTCAAAATTACAAGCATTTTTTGTTCATCATCTTTTCTATTATTAAATGAAATGTCGAATTTTATTAGAGTCATCGTGTATATAAAAGCATAAATTGAGTTTTGATTTCAATGTTAGTTCTGTGTGTTTCCGGCTTTTAGTTGAAAGTATATAAGAATTTCTGAAGGAGATTTAGGTACTTATATGAGCTAGGTGTATTATTTATGTTTTAGAATCGGTATCAATTTTACTAAGTACTTAAATCGAAACTATATCATGTCACAAATGAAATTAATAATAGTCACCTTATTATCATTGATGCTTTTCGAAGGAGTAAAGACAGAGGAAAATGAAGATGGTAAGTTCATTGTTTTTATTTAGCGTGTGTTTACAAAATCTCTCAAAGTAAACTTATTTCTTATATAATTTATTTTAAGTGAATAAACATCATTCATGTAATTGTTATGACGTGTAGTATCCAAGATAAATACTGATATACAAACTTCCTATAGGCAAGCCTCATCCAACTATAAAATAAGAAGACCAAGTGTGGAGAAGGTGGTTTACTAAGCTAAACCGAATCACATGCATAAGCACTCATTTATATACATAAACATGACTAAAATCTAGAAATCAACACAATTTCTTAACCAATCATATGAATTTTTTACTATGAACTTTTTGAGTAACAGAACGTGGCCTTCCCATTCTACGACTTTTGACTGACTCTATATCAGGAACCTTGATTATCGTATTTCATGCACTAGAACTAATTCATAGTGTGGCACGTCCAGGTAGCATAGTAAACAGTGTAATAAATGCTGGTAAATAAGAAACCTGAGTACGCTTCCCCACAGACATTGTATTCTGCTAAAAAGCACAACTGACCAACGTCTACTGTATGACATGAAACTATAAAGTTTAGCCCAAATAGCAATAACACATCATAATCACTTAGGTTATCAACTTTACACACAATTCATTATGAATCAATATTGTGATTAGTCTCATAGTATTTTAATGTAACTAAAAGTAAGACCAAGGATCATTCATGGTCTGATTTTTAGATGAAACCTCGACAAGCGATTTCTTCAGTAAATACAATCTTCAATGTACAAACGATATTAGAAAAGTAATACTCACAGAAACTCAATGAATAAAAATCTCCCGTATATCGGACTAATGAGTTGATATATTCTAACCTTACCGTCGTTTTGATTGAAGTATGCTCAAACAAATCAGATATTTACTGTGTTAAGATAGAAATGAACATATTTCATAATACTTTAATGAACCCTTTATCTGAACTATTTTACAGACAAGCCACAATTACTGACAATAAAGCAAATATCTATAATGTTCTATCTATATTTATTCATTAATTCTAACTTATTTTTTTTAAAGAAATTATAGAATACATTAAGATTAAAAACATAGACGATCTAGAAGATTTATCAACCTGTGAAGATAACAGCAAAACCAAAAAGAAAAATGGGAAAACTAAGACAAAAAATATTCCCAAGAAACAACAACCACATGATAATGGTTCGCCCAAAAAACTGTGCTAATAGTTTGAGGAATAAAAAAGAAATATGATGCGAAAACTGTTGTACTCAAAATCATTTTTGTGAAAGTTTTTTAAAAAAAGTATATAATAATAAAATCCGAAAATTT